ACTGTTTATCTTACAATTTTGCAGATGACAGAACGTAAAATTGCGGACGACACGCGACGTTGTGTTTCCGTCATTATGCACGTTCATCGAGGATGATCCCAACCGGAAGTTACCGAAGGAAAAACATACAATTTCTAGAAGTTGGAGCGCAATTACTCGAGTCTCGTGGACTGAAAATCACTTGACGAGTTTCAACTTTCTACTGGCGCAGTTCCATGGAACAATCGAAATCCAAATGCCATGCAATTCGACGCATTATTTCAGTACTTGCATGTGACTTATAATATAATAACTCACGTAGTTTCGATTATTTTCACTTAAAAAGAAAAAATACTTGATATTCTTGAACAATTGATAAACAAAGTATACAAAAAAAAAAATGATACAAAAGAGTCTATTGATTTCTTGGAAAAAAAAATTTATAAAAAGAACACTCTGAACTATCAGAAATACTCCCTCGATGGTTTAAAGAATTTAACAAACAGGAACGTAACGTCTTATGGTACTATCGTTAGGATCGCAAGCGTATTTTACCCAACGAGTTATACATCTGTTTCATCATCGTGTTTATTGCAGTGTCACAGTATCGCGTATAGCATCCAAGGTTAATTAATATTGTACGTAAGTTTCTACTCACGCACTTGTTCAAGTCGTGAGATTCGATTCATCGCGATCTTTCAATTGGATATTCATATTTGCGAAGAGTTTGTTTGCAAGGAAGGTAAACGACGAAGAAGCGATTTCGTCGTGACGTGTTTCCGCTCAGAATGAAATACGACTGAACGACAGATTTACGATCTGAAATGAAAGTGTCGTTGTAGTCTCGTCCGCAGAAGGAACACTCACCGGACGCCATATTGCGAGAGACAAGGCAGACTTGTAAGACTGAAATTGTAAGAACGTTGTGTGGGAAGATTTACACAGATTTTTCAAACAAGGTTTTCACGTAAGCGAGAATGGTGCACGCTCGATGGGTCATTGTCTTTCAAACTGTAACCAATTTCACACGTCACTCGATTCAATTTATTAATATAAATACAGATAGCGTTGCTTTTTAACTTCAACCAGTTGCTCGCTGTATCTATATTTACATTAAACACAGTGTAATACAAAATTATAGATGCAAAGCCTTAAGAGCTACTCACTTTTATGCTTAAAACTACTTATCCTCTAAACTGGGCTTCGACTTAAATCGACCTTAACGTTATACATGGCGAGCGTTTCATACATTCATACGAGCATTTTACATCGAATTACGCACACATTGGTAACCCTGTTTCTTTCATTATTGTTTCACATTACTGTCCAATTCAAAGTCTACGATCAAACGACGCGATATTTGTATATGTCGACATAAGAGTGTTTTATACCATAACTCCGAAACGCTAAGAACGGTAAGTTTTCTGTCAAGTAGATCGCCAATCGCATTTGACTGTTTAAGTACGCTCTGAAGAATCTGGACCACCAGTAAGTTGTTGCTAGCAGATATCTGTGCGTAATTAGTTGAACGTTCAAAATGAATCTGCTGTACCACGACATGTTCGATGAATCTGAAAACATGTTTTTTTTTTTTT